AGGTTACAAACAGAAAGCAAAGGAGACCCCCCAAGTCCAGAAGGTCTGATGTCAAGTCATGCTCTTAACCATTGGTGGTGTGCACAAGAGCCTTCACTTCCATGAAAGGCCCTCCTTTTCTGATAATTCCTCATCTTGTACTTTGAGAGCTTGATTTTGTTTCATTGTTTAAAAGTCTCCATAAACAAGATTATTGAAATTTAGCTACAGTGCCTTGTTAGACATGTCTTAACAAAGTGCATCTTGTTAAAATTGGTAGAATTTTGTTTTTGTTTAAGTGTCACATAACAAGAATTATTAACATCTTGGATTAGATGTCACTGACTCAGAATGTTTCAGTAAAATATTTTATGACATTTTTACTTATTATTTTATGAAATTTTAAATCTGTATTTAAAATCTATATAGGGGAGGGCAATGAGGGATATTAGACTTTTCTGAAACAGTTCCATTCTTAAAAGTGGAAGAGATTTGTATAGTTTAAAGTTAGACAATAAGGTATACTTTGATTTATTGAGTAAAAATACTGCTTATTTGATAAGCACCCTTTAAGATGACCCCAATAATCCCCACCTGCTGGTATGAATATCCTCCCCATGAGTCAACAGCTCCTAACCTGTACACTGTGGCAGCACTAAAGGGTTGTCACATTTGTGACTGTTAGGCACCACTGAGTTGAAGACCACTCATAGCCAAGCCTATGAACAACGGATTAGAACCCTGTGCCGTCCTCTCACCTCTGATGCACTTGAGTCCATTGTTACAGTCCCTGTGTCAATCCATCTTGAGGGCCTTCTTCCTCTCCATGCACCTTCTTTCATGGCATGATGTATTTTTCCAAGGACTAACCCCTCCTATATGGATTGAGGCTCAATGTCAAGAAGACAAAGATTCTCACCACTGGACCAACTGGCAGCAACAGGATGGATGGTGAAGAGATTGAGATTGTTTACAGTTTTAGTTTGCTTGGCTCCACAGTCAACATGCTTGGCACCAGTAGCCAGGAAATTAAAAGGCGCATTGCCATGGGAAAGTCTGCTATTTAGGGACCTCTCCAAAGTACTGAAAAGCAATGGTGTCTCTCTGGAGACTAAGGTGCGTCTGATACAGGCCATGGTCTTTGCAATCATTTGTTATGCATCAGAGAGTTGGACAATGACCAAGGAGGATAGAAGGAGAATTGATGCCTTTGAGCTGTGGTGCTGGAGAAGAGTATTGAGGGTACCATGGACTGCTAGGAAAACAAACAGATTCATCCTGGAAAGGGTTAAACCAGGCGGCTCCTTGGAGGCAAGGATTCTGAGGCTTGTCTAGCACACTTTGGACATGTTGTAAGGAGGCACTGGTTCTTGGAGAAGGGCATCATGCTTGGGAGGGTGGAGGGACAGCGCAGGAGAGGAAGGCCCTCTATGAGGTGGATTGATTCAGTGACTGGGATAATCGGGATGGGAGTATCAGAAGACAGTGCGACTGGCACAGGACAGAGCAGAGTTTAGGGCTGTTGTACATAGGGTCACTATGAGTTGCAAGCGACTCGATGGCACATAACAACATTAACAACCCCTCCCAACAACATGCCCAAAACATTTGAGACAAAGTTTCACCATCTTTGCCTCTAAGCAGCACTTCAATTTTACTTTATCCGAGACAGACTTGTTTGTTCTTTTGGCAATCCATGGGACACTGCATTTTCTTCTCTAACACTACAGTTCAAAGCAGTGCTTTTTCTGCCATCCATATTCATTGTCCAATTTTCCTATGTATGGGAAGTAATTGAAAAAACCATGGCTTGGATTAGGCACATCTTAGTCTTGAAACTGACATCACTGCTCTTAAAACCTCTGGATTATTTTCTTTTGTGAGTAAGTTATAGAAGACTGTGACTTCTATTTTGCTGGCTCTCTTGCCTTGTGTTATGGATTAAACCATGCCCCGCCCCCTCCACCAGTGGCTCCATGAGAGAAGGATGGGCAATGACCTGCTGGAAGGCCAGCTGTGAATCTATTTCAACTCAACCACATACAACAACAAATAAAAAGATACACTGAAATCCCTGTTTCCTGTGTAAATAGCGTCTTTGAGGATATTACCAGTTAATTTAAGGTCAAGTTGGGGTGGGGGGGAATGGATCCTAATTTGATCCTACTGATGTCCTCATATAAGAACAAATAAACCATCACAAAACATAGACGAGATGATGTCATCTAGACTTGCATTAAAATATCTCTTAAGTTGTGTATACATATTATAACTTACTGAGTCAATGCCAACTCAAAGGTACCTCTCCATTGGGTTTCCAAGGCTGTGAATCTTCACAGGAGGAGACTGCCCTCTTACTCCCATGGAGCCACTGGCAGATTTGAACCCCTCCGGACAACTCGGCCTTTTGGTTAGCAACACAACTCGCAACACCACCCAAGATCCTGTACTGTACTTGTGTTAAATCATTAAGGCCCCAAACTCAGATTTTTGCAGGCAGGGTAACTTTCAACGAAGTGGTGACTTCAAGAAAGATCAAGCATGGTTGCCTTGCCCCTCACCATCCATTCCCTACCTCTCTGAAGTCCAAAGGTACCTTCGGACAAGAGCATTTCCTCAGGTCAGGGACTCCTCCAAAGTGCCTACCAGGTCTCTCTACCCCTATGGAACACAGATCTATGCAGACATTCCTGGTGTCACCAGGAGCTGGAACTGACTTGATGGCACAGATTGATGCTAATATCGCCCTGTCTTAATTACCTAGTGGTTCTATACATAGAGACCACAAATGGGTAGTTTTAACTAACAGAAATATCTTTTCTCACTGTTCAGGATGCTAGAAGTGTGAATTCAGGATGTTGGCTCTAAGAGAAGGTTCCTTTGCTCTCTTCCAGCTCTGGAGGAAGAGACTTTGCAAGAAATTGACTCAAAACACCCTACCCTAAAACTGCCTCATTAATAAAATAAAACTCAATCTCAAATGGGATTATAACCACAGGCATAATCCTATGTTTTTTTTCCTCAGCAGCTGGTTTTTTCCCTAAAGTTGTAGTATGGATGAAAGTTTACCCAACAAAGTAGTTGTCCATTCAACAATTTATACATTTTGTTTTATAACATTAGATATATTCTTTCAACATGATTAACATTCTTCTTCTTGTATTCTGGGCAGCATTAGTGTTTTCCTGCCCCTTCTGAGTGTGTTTTGAGGTTAAGTTTTACAGTATCTATTTTAGGGGGAAATAATTCAATCCATAACATACACCCAACACCCACATTCCAGCTCCCAGCTCCGGACTTGCTCTGATAGTGAAATGGTCAGGAGGACACAGGATAACAGGTAAGGTAAGAACATAATCAAGATCTTAATTTCTCTGCACAGTTTATTTGTCCTGGGTTAGTCTATAAGGCAGGTTCATGCTTAACATGCAAAAGCTTAAGACATAAAATTCCCCAGAGCCCAGGCATCACCCTCACTCACTCAACCTTTCACCCACCAGACAGGGATGGAAATCTTTAGACACAGAAAGTATCCTCTGTGTTGTAGAGAAGGAAACTGAGGACCAGAGAGGCAATGTCAGTGATTTCCATGGCATTGTTCACCCACCAAGTTTTTTCTTTAGGATTGCTTCAGATCATCTATCAAGATCTTGCATCCTCTCGACTGCCAGAAGTAAAACAGAGAGTAAGCCTATTTTAGTCCTGTATTCTCCCCAGGACACAATCCATTCTACCTCAGAGTCCCTGCCTGAATCTATCATCCCCCGCTTGAAGGGCCATGTAGTGAGGAAAGCATATGGTGATGGAAGTATCCTAAGATTTCCCAAAGGCTTAGGCTGGCCACAGAAAACCCAGTTCCAGTTCCTCTTGGCCCAGACAGTGTTGCTAAAGCCAGAGAGGCACAGGCACAGAGAGGGAAGAGACATTTCCCTCCCCCAGGACCCTTGGAACACCTTGTCTGTCACTTACAAGCTGATAAACACACATTCCCTTTCATCAGCACAAATCAATACCGTTTTCAACACTTCTTTTTGCCGTGGATAGGTCTGGTTTGCTTGGGAAGTATTATTTTAGAATTCCTATCATCCTAGTCCTTCAGGGTCTGTCCCTATTATTTCCCAGGTGCCCAAAGGCATGGTTCCCAAGGGAAAGTCCCCTAATTCCTTCCTCCTCTGATTCCCTCCTTATGTCCTCATCTTCATCATGACTCCAAGTCCCCCATCCCTGATATAAATTTTCCATCAACAGCTCTGACAAAAACCACAGCTGCCCTGGCTTTCCAAAGCTGCCACCAAATAGAACTTTAAGAACAATGGTCTTAGCAGAGCAAGGACTGGGACGGATAAGGGGAAAGGAGAAGGTGGCAGTCTGGGAAACCCTAGCACAGATTAGCACAATCCCAGGTGGGTGATTGCAGGCTAGTCTTGCTTTTTTTCTCCAAATGTTGATCAGGGAATACAGAGGACAGGAGGAAAAAAATAGGACTCTGGAGGAAAAAAGGCTGGGGTGAACCAGCGTGTGGATATGTGCACACAGCTGTTCATGATTCTGCCTGCAGATAAACACCTTCCTAACAGATTGCTCATCTTCACACATATACATACGCCCAACACAAGACTGTACACTTAAACTCACTTGTACACATACATACACATATAAACACATGGATGTTAATGCTTGTACACTCACACACAAGCCCATATATAAGTTAGTAGCTGTGGACACATGCACACACAGCACACAGGTGCTTACACAACTTAATGTTATATAGTTTTTGCAAAGTGAGCAAGTCCCTCATGTGTTATCTTTCTATGCTTGTTATATGACTATATGTTATCTACATTGGAGCATTACATGTGAAAACATGCCTACACATGTGTATACTGGCCTATGTGCTACACACACATTCTCCCTTACGATTACCTGCATTCATACCAGCAAGTAATCACGTACTTACTAGTCAAACCACACACACACCTTCATATAGACACTTACTCTTGCACACCTCTCAGGGCACATCCTTAGCCCTGGCCCTGGGATGGTGCTGCCCTCTGCTGGAGACAGCGGATAAGCTCCTTTCTGTTATCTAGGATAGTGTCAAAGCTCTCTTGCAGGCGGGCCTGCTGGTCAACCAACTGGTGCTGTAGGGCCCTGATCCACTGAAGCAGGGCCAGGCGGCGGTACATCACTAAATGCACGTGGTGCTTCTCCTTCTCTTGCTCTTTGTAGCGCTCCTGAGCCTGCAGTTGTTGCACTGCTTGGACCACTGAAGGCAGAAGGGGATCTGGAGGGCCAGGGCCTCCAAGGGTCCCACAGATAGGCTCAGGGCTGCTACTAGGACTGTCAATGCTCAGAGAGCTGCTGGCATAGCCGTTATCCTCCAGCGGAGAGCAGACCGTGCTGACACCACCCATCTTCTCAGGCTCAGACCCAGGAATCTCTGCCCCTTCTGGAGGACTTCGCACTTCCCCTTCGGGGAGTCCAGAAATCTGGAAGACCTGGTTGTCAGAGGGTGACTCAGGGGAAATGCCCATTAGTGTGGGCTCCACTCTGCCTGGCATCTCATGCCAATTCTCATTGGCATCCTTGACACTTGCCATGAAGTTGGAGTTGCTGTCTGGCTGGAGTTCGGGCTGACATATCCCAGGAGGTGGGCCTCCCAGGAATGGGCCCCCCTCAGCTAGCCCTGGTGGGTTGGCAAACATCTGGTCTGTGAAGAGGAAGCAGAAGAATGAGTCACAGGAGGATAAGGTAGATACCTTAAGTCATGCCAGCCTAGGTGCAGGGGTGACGCAGCAAGCATCAGTCTAGTTGTTCCTTCTCAGTTTCTCTCCCTAGGTTCTGGTAACATGTCCCATTCTGGTTTTTCTTTACCCTCTCTGTCCTAGTCTCCTCCACAGGGTTTTTCCTTTACCCATCCCTTGAAAACTAGTGTCTTCAGCCCTGAGAAATGCTTTTCTCTATCCTCACTTTCCATATTCCCCCATATGACTTCCTCATCCATTGTAATTTCAAGAACCATTCGTATTTTGATGACTCCCAGATCAACATCCCAGATCCAACTGCTATCCAACCCTGCAACCCATATGGTCCCTCCCAAACCAAAATCTTAATGCCTTTGAGTCAACACCAGCTCATGGAGACCCTCCACTAGGTTTCTGGGCCTGTAAATCTTTATGAGAGGAGACTGTCTTAACCTCCCATGAAGCTACTGGTGGATTTGAACCACTATCCTTCTGGTTAGCAGCTCAACTTACAACAGTACCAGCACTCCTTGGATTATCTCCCTGGCTCCTCCAACCAGCTTTCCTTCTGTATTGGTATCACTAAGATGGCTTCAGTCTCCCCTAGCCTGACTCATGACATCTCACTCTCCTTCCTACCCTCATCAAATTGGTCACCAAATTCTGTCAGTCGTTCCTCTTAAAACTTTCTGGGGATATATGTTCATGAATTTCCCTTCACTTCCACTTGATTCAAGGCCACTGCTGTTGCCACCATTTTGACTGATCTGTTGGCATCTAAAAACATAAATTTATTAAAACACTAGGTGCCTTCACTGAACTCCTGCTAAACTGCTATACGGCCTACACAACTCTGGTTGATCCTGTCCCTGCCCACCCTTCCATACATGCACCTCTGCCTCCTATCCACCAAACTGCTGAGATATCTCAGAATATACAATTGTTTTCTCTGTGCTCTAAGTTCCCTTTTTTCCATTTCAATACTCAGTTCTAATATCCCCACCTCCCTGAAGCTTTCCTGATAGTCTCTTTTGCTGGTAGATGCCATCAAGCTGACTATAATTCAAAGTGACCCTATGAACTGCAGAGCGGAACTTGCTCTCTCCTGTGCCATCCTCACAATCCCTGTCCTGTTTAATAAGCCCACTGTGTCAATCCATCTCATTGAGCGTCTTCCTCTCTTTCACTGACTCTTTCTTTCCCAGCATGATGTCTCTCTCTATAAAGATCTATTCCTCCTTAAAATGTGCCCAAAGTAAATGAGATGAAGTTTCACCATCCTTGCCTCTATGGAGTACTCTGGTTGCACTTCCTTCAAGAAGTTTCATTTGTTTTTTTGGCAGTCCATGGAATATTCAATACTCTTTGCCAAAACCACAATTCAAAGGCACTGGTTCCTGTGTCTCACTGTCCAATTTTGAGATGCACAGAAAGCAACTGCAAATACCATGGCTTGTATCTTTTTTTTTTTTTTGAGGTTGCAAATATTCAATTTATGTACAGCCCAAACATAATACAAATCCCATGTAAAACCTAAATATTAAAATGAAGGTACTCACAATAATTCCTCCATTACTATTCTGTTAGTTCATCACACAGTGGTGGGTTATTTATTTTTTTTTAATATTTTTAATGAACATTTACAGAGATTTTGGATTTCCATTCATTCATTGCTGTACTTCTCTCCCTGCCCAGCCCTCCTCAGTTTGCTCCTCTCTTTGAAAAATAAAAGAAAAACTCCCTCCCTGGTACACAATCCCCGCCCCCCCTACCCCGGCACCCCTCCCACCTTACTCTTTATAACTCTGAAGGGATAGTCTCTCTTACTTTCCCCAATATACACAAATATACATATTTTAACTATGTCTTCCTTGGGATCCCACAGTCTTGGATGTATATACATACACTCTCTTATTCATGTTTGTTTCCTGTAGCTGGCATTCAGTTGATATAGCCAATGAATCGCTATTCAACATAATAGTGTTGTTGTTGTTGTTTTTTATTTTTTTTAATAGTGTTGTTGTTATGTGCTGTCGAGTCGCTTGCGACTCATAGTTCCCCTATGTACAACAGTCCTAAACTCTGCTCTGCCCTGTGCCAGTCGGAGTCTATGACACACCCATCCCGATTACCCCAGTCACTGAATCAATCCACCTCATAGAGGGTCTTCCCCTCCTGCACTGTCCCTCCACCCTCCCAAGCATGATGTCCTTCCTTCTCCAAGGACTGGTCTCTCCTTACAACATGTCCAAATGATGGAGCCTCAGAATCCTTGCCTCCAAGGAGCCACCCAGCTACTATAAATCTTGCTTCAGGACTAAACTGAGAACTTTTTAAGAACTCGCTATTTTATCATCACTTGTACAAATGATTAATAAACCAGCTGCTAACTCATAGGCTGGCAGTTCAAGTCAGAGGCACCTTGGAAGAAAACTCTAACGATCTACTTCCCTTCCTAAAAAAAAAAACAACAGTCATTGATAATTTCATAGAGCACAGTTCTATTGTGACATACATGGGGTTTCTATGGATCACAGTCAACTAGATGGCATCTGGTTCTAGCCTCAGGACCCAGCACAGAGCCTGGCACTTAACAGATATCACACATAACTGGGAAGAGGCAGTTGCTTGAGATTTCCATGTCTAGAATGACAAAACCAACAGTTACAGGAGGCTAATGCTAACTGCTCAAGGTGGGAAGACTTAGATCCAGGTCCCTCTTCTGCCCCAAGAAGCCATGTCAATACCAAGCTAAGATGGTTTGACAGCAACTAACAAAGAGCGTAAGCATACACCGGAAATCATGAGGATGACACAAGGTGGGGCAAGGTTCAGATCTGTTCTTCATAGGGTCACTATGAGTAGCAGACAACTGAATGGCACCTACCAATCCTCCTTTCCTTCCCAGTGCCCTTGAGTATGTTTATTTCCATGTGTCCCTGCGCCTGGCTTGCTCCATCCATCCTGAGACCCAGGAGGGAGAGGTGCCACCTCACTCTTTCCTCCCTAATATCTCGTTTCAACCAAAAATTAATGTTTGAATTGAAAAGTAGGTCATACTGACCATATTGCTGAGATTAAAAACAAACAAACAAAAAACAAAACAGTAAAAACAGTGAAGGGATACTTCAGTGGTGCAAGTCTTAGCAGGATCTTCCCATATTTAGCTGAGGCATTAGTCCTGGGGGAATGGTTTGGCATTATCTCTTTGTAACCTGCAGCCCTGCCCCAAACCCCTGCAGGCAAAGCCTCTGAATGATAACGAGATCCTCCAGCTTCTTCTGTTCTGGAGGTTTGGGTGGGGCCTTGAAGAAGGATGGGGGAGGAGTGATGCTAAAGATCACGAGTTCTCTGTGAAGGGTAAATGGGAGCCCTGACACCCTATCCCTCGGCCCCAGGAGAGGAGCGGTTTACAATGTGAGAGGTGGGAGGAGAAAGGGGGTAGAGAAACACTCCCTTCCTGCCTAACCTGCATGAGAGGGAGGCTTCTACCCCCAGCCGAGAACATAGAGCCCTCCCCTCCCTAATCTCCCCACAGGAGGCAGCTGGGTGGAGGCTGCGACGCCCCCTCCCCGCTGCGCCTGTGCCCACTCCCTTCCCCCTCTGCGGGTTCCTACTCACAGCTGCGAGGAGCCGTCCTGCGCGGATGGCTAACTCCGCCCTGGTCCGCGGCGGGGACTCGGCACCCGCGGTTAGCGGCGTCGCTGGGCCTAGACGCTCACGCAGCTCTGGGTCCGGCCGTGGTCTGCGGGGTCGGCGGCGGGAGGCCCAGCCCAGGGCCCCGGCTGCGGAGTCGGCGGCGTCAGCGCGGCGGGGCGGGGCGGCGGCCCACGTGGGCCGGTTCGGTTTTGCAGGGGGCCGCTCGCTGGGGCCTGCGGAACTGCATTCCCACGCCTTGGGTTCACTTTACCAAAGTGTTCCGCGTCAGGGTGTATTATCCTGCAGCACTGGGCCCCACCGAACGGTTCGCTTCACTGCAAATACAAGATGTTTTCAAAATGAAAATCTGATCATGCTTAAACTATTCAACAGCTTCCCATAGCGGAAATCTTAAAGGCAGCAGCCTTGGGGCTCCAGCCCTCTGCTGCCCCTGCAGCGCCATCCCTCAGTCTCTCCAGAGAAGCCCTGGTGGTGTTCTGCTTGAAATTTCTGCACACGTTTCCCTCTGCCTTACATTTTCTTTCGCCTCCCAATCTACTCAAGAGTTCATGAGAACTCTTAACTCAGATATGCTTTTCTCTGCCTCCTAAATCAGATTATCTTCTCACTGTAATCCTTTTCTTTATAGCACTTGTCACAATTTGAAATAATATTTTTACTCTGTATTTATTAAAATTATTTCATGAAAGCTTTAAAAGAAAATTACTCTGGTTTTGGTTTTTAAATTTTTTATTATTTTTAAAAAAATTACAAAGTTTAAATAAGTTGTTTTTCACAAAAGATTCTTTCCCATTTATTTCCTTCACCTCACCCACCCATCGGAGTGTGCAACCCTATGATTAACACTCTACCCCCATCCTCATCCCTCTATTTACAACCTACACCACCACCACCAGCCCCCCTCCCTCCCGCCTTGGGTCCTCATATTCATTCTACAATAATGGTTTTATAAAATATTTGTCCTTGTGGGACTGAGTTCACCCAGCATAATGCTCTTTAGTCCCTCCCAAGTTAGGTAGTAATTAAAAAAATGATTGTTCCTGCATGCTGCGTAGTATCCCATTGTATGAATGTACCACAACTTCTCAATCCATTTGTTTGTGGTAGGATATCTGGACTATTTCCATGTTCTTTCGATGGTGAATAATGGTGCTATGAACATTGGTGTACAAGTTTCCGTTTGAGCCTCAGTTCTTATTTTCTTGGGGTATACGTTCCAAGCAATAGAATAGCTGGGTCATATGGACTTTCTATGTTCAGCTTTTTGAAGAAGTACCAAACTGCCTTCCAGAGAGGTTGTA